ACAAACTTCTTGTTGAGAACGTTATTGCCTCGAACACCTCCCAACCCATACGTACGCACGCAAGCGCAATTTCAATCGTGTGCTTTAATATGCTTCATAAGGCAGTTGGATAAAATAAAGATTGAAACGGGAACTATGTACGTATTTTACTTATAACATTATGATTATTTTACACTTTATTTTTAAAGTGTTGTGAAGTTTTATAGGTTTTTATTGCTTCTGGATAAAATATAAGACTATTTTCTCAAAAGTGGATTCTGGATAATATATTGCTTGGGGTTGAAGTTTTCTCATTGTACCTTTCTCGACTTAAGTTATTTAGTCCTTCAGCAAATGTTAATAACAAAACAAATTACGGAAATAACGTGTCTTACCCAATACAAGGAAAGATCTGTAAAGAAAAGAAATTGACTTCAACGATCTGATCATTCGGTCATGAAAATTTGCTCAGGCTTTGTTTTCGTTACGTCGAACGAAACCAAATTTAAGAGGAAATTTGCGTAGACTTTTGTTGCGTTACTTGGGTTGAAAGTAAATTAACGAGGAAATAATTTTGTTGCAGCGACACAGAAACGAAAGGTTTCGTTTCGCTTCGCTTATGTTGCCATCCTTCAATCTAGTGCTATCAACAAAAAATAAAACATATTGTAACGTATTAGCCAGCGTGCCTCGTGGCATCTATTTGGGGACGCTTGGTAGATGATTAGCCTCGCCACATGAAGGAGAGAAGGGTTTTTCCGTAAAGCAAGAACGCGGAAACGGGAGAAACAAGGCTTTGGGGTCTTCCGGTCTTTAAAAACCTTTAATTGTTATAACCGAGGTGAGGAGTGGTTGAGTGCCACGATTCACGCCGATTCTCAATCGGATAAGATCGCTCCTGCGATCGAGGCAAACCATCCGTTGGTACACCAGAACGGACTTTGTGTCCCAGTGTGACATCCGGTCACGGAAAAAAGGCTTTGTGCGCGCTTCAAAAGTAGGAGTGGCGAATGTCACAATCGAAACCGATCATCAGTCGGGTTTGAATCGTTCCCGCGGGGATAGGGGATAGTAGGTCTATCAGAGCTAGGGTGTAAGAAGGAAATTAATTGTAAATATTTGTTGTGTTTTCTTTGTTAATAAATATATTTGTTATATGAAAGCTCTGTGTTTGTGTTCGCTGTGAGTAACCATGACGTCACAATATTCAATATCCACCCCTTGTTTCCTACCATCGTCACACTCACACGCAGAATAACTTCCCGCGATGTGAATTTGCAATGGTGAACTTAGACCTGAGGAGTACGATGTGCACCCTATCCAGTGGCGACCGGTGTGGAATTCTATTGGTAATGCTATTTAGCTATGCGACATCGATGCACTCTATGGGACAAAATGTAAACTATTGCACAGCTGCTTTTGGTTTCGTCTAATTCATAAGAGGCGCATACAAACCAACAAAACGGTCTTTATACAACGTTCAATGAGAAGGAACCAATCAGTTGGTGGCTCAGCGGTCCAGAAAGAGACCGGCAGACAGAAGTCCGCCCTAAGCGTTTGTAGAGAGTATTCAAGGAGCTTCGAAGGATTAAACGTTTGTTCAAATCAATTACTACAAAGAAAAATATTTTGAAGAATCGATATTTTATACATATCTTTGTGATGAAAATTATATTTTCCTTTCATTTTTTGGTGGTGCCACTAGCTCTATCCTGAAAGCCGCCACCCATCTAGCCTTTCTCGGAGCGTGCTGGGAAGTGCTGCTATCAGTAGTATAGCTCTGAAGAATGCCACAGCAAGATGGCCGAAACGTCAGTACAATTGACCGAGACGCGGCTCATCCATGATAGCAAAGAATGCTTTGACTCCGGCCGCGGAAGCCTACGCACGCGTACTTCGAAGTTGTTTCTGCCGAACGGATGTTTCGTGAGTTGTTCTATGAAGTCGATTGCTCATGTTGACGTCACTGGAAAGTAGGTTCGCCTTATTGGCGCTGGTGGTTCATTTGCATTAAAGGGAATATTGGAGCAATATTACGTTCACAGTAAACACAGCTGCATGAAATATTGCTGAATCAAAGGACAGACGGGGTTCCTTTGTTCTAACACAGGAAATCTTCCCAATATCTCTTATATTGACATCCTGGTATACAATTTTTTTGCAACATTGGTGATTTAATTTATTGCGGTAAACAAAAACACAGGACGGTTTCTAGGATATATTACATTTCTTCCATCAATTTTAAAAAAATAATAAAAATGCACACACTAATAAACTTTCTGCCCTGCTACTGTATTTGCTTACAAGCACATACTGATAAATAGTCCATCCATAGAAATACACGTGACCCCATCCTTCCTATCCATCCGTATCTGATGGGTTTACAAAACACTGCGCGTGATCTCCCGATAGTTAACTTTCCCCAATTCACTCTATGCCTCCTTCATTTAGAATTCATACAGATTTTTGACACTTTTTTCGAACCTGTAGATTTCATTTAAATATATCTTCCAGACAAATAAAATTGTAGTGATTTATTGCAATATAACTGCCTTTTCATAATCTCTTATGATTACGTAGATGATATTAAAAAACGATTCAACGGTTTTTACGATTTTTGTCCGTCTGTTTGTCCTGCGTAATCTCTGGAACGGCTAAACCGATTACGATACGGATTTCACTGAAATATGCGTTCCGGGCGACATCAATACATTTCAACTAAGTTAAAACAGTTTCCTGAAATTTTAGAAAACATTTTCTCATCCATACATTTATCTTTGCTCAATCGTGCACACGTCGTGGATACTTCACAATATTTTTTTAGTATACTATTTTTGAATATTATGTGGGCGTTTTGCATATGTTCTTCTGCAAAGAATACATTTTGAATCACAAAGTAACTAAAAAGAAATACTCGATCAATCAGAAAAATGAAAATTGAATTTGAATGCGATCACGGAATAGATGATTAATGTATTAAGATATAATGGAATTTAATGTTCAGAAGTTGAAAAAAATACTCTGAAGAAACGGGTACAGTCTTTTCTTCTTTTATTTAAATGACTAATCTTCGAACTTCCATCTAACTTATATTCAGTAGATAACTCTTCGATGGACATCTTATATTGTAAGTAAATTGCCATACGTTCCCGGAAGAAATATAATGGCGCGTTATTCAGTTGACTTTGACAAGCACTTCCCTTCTTTATTGGTGGCTTCACGTGGAATCTTCCAAAGGTAGTTCCAAGCGTGGATATATTTTCGTTCTAAAACCATTATCTATTCTTAACAAGCTCCCCCTACTAGACGACTTCTTCGAAAAAAAAATCGTTTTTGCATTGTTTGCACCGAATGTCAAGAAGCGTCATTTGTTTTCTAGGAAACATGACGAAGACGAGGCGCCGGCGCCGCGTCCGTCGGATACGACCCGAGAAGAGAATAACAATTTCGCGAACATCCAGCCAAGAGGCTTACGATGAAAATGTTCTTTTCGTGCCGGCACGTTGCCTTGCCCCGATGGGAACTCGCCGCGCCGCCCCGGAGAGAATTTCCTGCCACGTCTTCTAGCGGCGCGCCGTAAATCATAGACGTAAAGAACGCCGCGACGGCACAGACACCTCAGGCTAGCAAGCATCGGGGTGCTATCTGGAAGCTCTTCCGTTCCCCAGAACTACACAGGAAAAGAAAACGGCGGCGCAGAAGAGAGACATTGAGGAACTGCTAACCGCGTCAGTCAGAATGAGATCATAAGCTAGTGGTCACACCACATATGTCTTAAACTTTCATTTAATTTGTATTTGTAATGGTTTGAAAATGAAACAGTATATAGGACTTTATTCGGTTTTAGAGTGGAAAAATAATTTTCCTTTATTAAAAAGAACAAAAAACAAGATTTCCAAAGTGAGAATCATACATTGAAATTACTTCGTGTATCGGCATTTGTATTGTAACTCTAGTTTATTTCACTTAATGAAGCAGACACAATTAGACAACATAAGTGTTTTACATCCACGACACATGTTCAACGATCTGTTCTCATATATATTTGTTGGCAAATGACCCCTTTGTTGATTACAAATGGAATAAATGATAATTCTCTAAGCTGATGATATGAATGTATTGTCATTCATCAAAAAAAGCAAGAAGTAGGATAAAGGATTTCCAGCTTGGTTGCCTGATAACCAATTAATACTAAACTTTCAAAAGACTATTGAACGCAGCATTCAATTTAAAAAAATAGCATACTTCATTGAAAATTAACGAAGAGCAATTACTTAATGTTAAAGAAGAAATTTTTTGGGTCAACTCATTCTGTTATAATAATAATAATAATAATAATAATAATAATAATAATAATAATAATAATAATAATAATAATCGAGACAGTGAACTTGTCCAATATTTCAACAGCAAAATAATGTTCTAGTATTAAACACAATGTAGCACTATTAGGAATTATATTATAAACTATAAATTATATTGGCTTCTAACAAAAGTGCTAAACTTATTGCAAAATACTAATACCATAATTCTCATGAGCTATTGAATCATTTATTTCACAACACGTAATGCATGCAACGGGCGTCGCACGCCAAAATGGCGAAAAAAATGTTTAAAATATCATCCTGCATTCCATTCTAGTATTCATGATGAAACCTCAAGGAACGGTATTCATTGCCCATCAATCGAGTATTAATCAAAGGGTCCTGGAACATTGCACTCCGAAATCTATATAAACAACACCCTCAAGAAACACCGCTTTTACGTTTTACATTTGTGAACCAGTATTAAAATAATTTAAATAATGTATACTTAAAAAAAGTATTTACGTTTGGCGAAATAGTATACCATATCAGTTTTGAAAATTAACGGAAGTGTAGTTTTTATTTCTGTCTACATTTAAAGATCGTGAAATGTGTGTGTGACTCTATTTATTTAAAAATGAAATGAACTATATTGCATAGATATAAAGAAGTTACTATTTAATTGAGTGTGTAATGTTCAACTTATTTATGTTGCAGGTATTCCAAATGTTGACTATATTACGAATAATTACAGCGCGATTGCGTTTAAGGTAGGAAGGAGAAATATCCAGTATTTATTATTTTAAATTTGAAAAATATAATGAATTATTGGTACTTATTATAATAAGACAAGGTGTATTTACGAACAATTGAGTGCAACTCGGTGGCAGTAATTTATAATGTAAAGGAATATCAATATAAAATTAATGATAAAAATATTACACACGACAGCACTGCACTTTTCTGCACTGCTCTTCACTGTCCCACATTTCAACATCCTTAGACGCTATTCACAACACTTTTCTGAACTACACGACACTTTAAGTTGCATTGGTTTTAACTTAGAAAAATTTTTAAAGTTGCTTACTTTGTTGTTACTAAACCAGTTCTAACATATTTCTCAGACAAGTAATATTGCGAGGATTGGTTTTGAATGTTGTTACCGGCAAACTCTTATATTTCTATCGACGTATTAAAACTTCCCTACATATGTTCTCTGCTTTTTGTCCGAATTTTGTGATTATGGTCGCCTCTATTGAGATATGTTTATTGCTCTAGTCTATTCTCAACTTCCTACCAAGCTGGTTGGGATATGCTCGATTTATGTAAATCGTAAATTACCATGTTTTATTCTTCTTGTTTCTAGCGGTTCCCATCACTTTTTAAGTATGTAAACTTGAAAGCTTTATTTTCAATTCTTTCTAAAGGATTCGTACGCTTTGTTAGTAAGTGGGATACCAAAGGTTACTTCCTATTCCACAATAGAACGGACAAGATATGTACTATATGTGATAAAAATACGGTGAATAATTGTATTACAAATTAATAAGCTTAAATTGAATTTAAATTAATCTCCCTCCAAGTACTGCCCTTGGCTATAGATATGCTTGTCACGACATTGAATTCATGACGAAGCATTTCTCGAAGGCTTCTTTCGGAAGCGTTCAGCTACAGTGTCATATCCCTCTGAATGTCGGAAATGATGTCAAAACGTTTTTTCTTTTACCACTCTTCTTATTTTTTGAGAAGAGCCACAATTCGCATGGTGCTAAATCTGACGAGTAAGTCGGATGTGAACGGACCGGAGGCCTTTTCCGGCTAATCGTTGAGAATCAGAAGAGGCCTGTGGCACAACGCATCGTCATGATAAGGAACGTTGCCATTGGCTCATTTTTCTGGGCGTCTCACTTGCAAATTATTGGTTAAAATACTCGTACCCACACGGGATGTGATTTTTTATAAGCTATCGAATAGGTATTAGTCTGTTCCAACGAACAAATTTTGTCCCATTTCGTAAGCTTTATCTCTTTTAGGGGTCAAAGGACATTCCGACGTTGCTCGTCACGTCCGCTTTTAAATCACTCATTCTGCTTGTAAAGAATATCCAACATTATCGCCATTCGCTGATTTGAACATTTCATGAGTTTCTTTGTCGCTTTCAACTTGAAACAACACTCCATGTTAATGCGTAGTTGAAAATTCATGATGCGCGACAGACACGGTAAACACGGCCTCACTCTTACTGCTCTGGAAGCCGACAGAGAAGTTAGTCAGAACGTTCTGAAATTTGACACTGCCCATCTCAACGGATCATATTATCGGACATATTACATCAAATAGATGAAACGTGATCAGTTGCTGCTATACAAATTTATTCTTTGTATTTTTAGCACTCATTGTATGTGCCAATTGAGTCCGCACTTTCTTTGCCGCACGGCTATAGCGCACTTTCTTTAATATCCGCATTACGAAATGCAACGACTTCCACGTCTTTCTCGTTCGTTGGTTTATTTCATTCTCCTTCCGTAACTTATCTGGCTGAATACCAAGATACGTACACGACGATACCAAATGAAGTCGCTACCCAACTAGCAATCAGGTACAGCATAATCAAGAGCCCTGTTCAATATAATTGCTTAAATTTTCGATCCGTTAACTTCCATACCGTATATTTCAGTCCAGTTTTGCTAGTATGATAAGACCTGTGGCAAAATATTTTCATTGCCCTTTAATTTTATTACTCGGAATAACACGCAATCGCCTGAAGTCATCGTACTTTACAACGTGTAATATTTGGGGGATCATTTGCCAAAGCTATGAAAAATAATTCTTTAATCCTTGGAACTACACGAGTATATATCCCCGACATGAAAGTTTCTCAATAAGTGGTTGATGACGCAAGGCGTTTGGGAGATTTGTCCATCCCTTAACACATAAGCAAAAATCCTTAAATTCGGTAGAATTCGAACCTGATACCTTTACAAAATACGCCGTCCCGACACCACCGCCTTAAAAATTTCCGATACTCCGTTGTGCCGTTTTTTTATGAAAATCTATACCGCTATCGCTAGATGTGTGTTAAGAGTAAATTTTTATGTATTTACATAGAATACCTATGTGTTAAAATAATATAATGATGTGTAATAAAATAATTATAATGTATGGTATCATTATAATTAAAGTCCAAAATTTATGCAGTAAAACTCTCTAAAAACGTGCAATAAAACACCAAATCGTGCAAAAATATGCAATAAAAAGATCAAGATTTTGCAAAACGTTGTTATGTAGCCTAAAACTCCAGTTAATTCACTTATCAACTTATTTTTATATTTTTTATGTGATATGTAACGTGAATGAAATATTATAATTTGAGTATTATTATCATAATTAAATTCATTCAAACAAACCATATTTGACATTTTAAATATTATTCGCACACAAAATTAAATTAGCATATAAACACAAAAAAGTAATTTACAAGTAAGTATATTTCCAAATTATTTTCTGAGAAATTATTTTATCTTATATCAACGGATCTATCCCTGCTGCAATAGAGAATTTGTGCACGCCATAGCGGACGGCTGTTCTGAGCATGAGCAGACACACTAATGTGATGTGAAACATGAACTGCGCATGCGCATTACTTCAACGTTCGAGAGTGCACAAACTCTTTATTAACTCAGAATTTTTAATTAGACAATAGGCATCATGAAAAGTCATCATGACAGTAGGCATCACAGACTCTCAAATCATGGTGCAACAAATTCAGAATAGATACATATTAAACGGCACTCTGGTTTCCAAGACAACCAGAAAGCACTACTGAGTTGTCATAAAAATGTTTTTCTTAAATGAAAAATTTAAAAAATATAAAATTAACAAGTTTATAACATAAAAAAATGTTTTATGCAATAAAATCTTTGCAATGAATCTTTCACATTCGTCCAGTAACATTCCAAACTGTGAAATTTTCAAACAGCATTACCTAAACGTGCAATACCGTGCACTAATTCCCAAACATACCATTTCGTGCACAATAAAACGAGTACAAAAATAACGTCCTTTGCATTATTAAAATTTCTGTTAAGGTTTCATCCAATTTCAAATTAGCAAGGAAAAGATGGGAATCTGGTCATTAATTATTATATATATATGATATTCATGTTATTTCAGTAATAAAGAAAGTAAATTTTTCGGAAAACAGCCGTCAGAGAGAGTGCCCTTCTTTCTTTACATCCTGTCGTTTTCTTTTGGTTCTTCTCGTCCCGTTCTTTGGGTTGCCTAGCCCACGTAGGCGCGCACCGGAGAGTCGAACCGCGAGAAAGCAGCGCCCGGTCAAACGAACCGGTCACGAGTCGTCGCTTTTCACCAGAAACCCCTCTCAGAAAAATGGGAGGGCATCCTCGCATCCGGCCGCCGTTATCTCTTCCATTCGCAGGCACGAGGGCGCTCGCAAAGAAGGCCCTCCCTCTCGCTGCTCCCGGCCACCAACGCCGCCCGCCCACCCGCCTTCCCACTCACCCCACCATACCACCCGCTTTCGCCTCATTTCCTACTCTCCTCACCTCCTGCCCTCGCCTCACCTCCTGCCCTCGCCTCACCTCCTACCCTCGCCTCACCTCCTACCCTCGCCTCTCCTCATACCCTTGCCTCACCTCCTACCCTCGCCCCACCTCCTACCCTCGCCCCACCTCCTACCCTCGCCCCACCTCCTACCCTCGCCCCACCTCTTATTCTCGTTTAACCTCGCGCCTCAATTCATCTCATCATTATACCAAGAACCGCGGTAATGAGTATAGCAAATTTTCTAAAGAAGGGAATAGTTTTAAAAGCAAAAGAGATTAAAACCTTAAATTATATTTCTTTTTGTTTTCCATTGAATATTTACCAACATAATAATGACGGTGCCAGGGAAATAAACACGGCAACATTTTCCCCAGATGTCTGTATACATTAAACACTACATAGAATTTACCAAAAAATAATATTTCCCAATCGATCTGACTGATGGTAACACCACCCCACGAATTTGAAACTGATGTTGAGGGAGGGATTCTTAATAATTTCTCAATTTTTCTGTCATATCAAAGAACGGTTAAAAAGTAGTGCTGCTCCCATTTTCGGCAAACTCAGTAGCTTCGGAAATTGCAAGAATACTTGTTCAATATTGAAGATAGAGACTCTTAAATGAAGCTTGTTCTAAATAATTACATTTTAAAGAAGGGCATGTACAATTTTTTTAACGAGCAGATTTTGTTGCGTTTCTGCATAAAGATAATTCAGTTTTTTTGTTTTTTTTCAAAAGCTACGTCGGTTTTTTCCTTTAAATTATAATGTTAAAGTTTCTAAAAGTATATTGTTAAAAAGATCAGTTTAAAATGTTTTAAAAAACCTAATTTTCGCGTAATGTATGCTTAAAAGTATTGCAGTTTATAAAAAATTCTCATTATGTGCTCTAAGTTTTGTCTTTTTTTCGTAGAAAGAGCAAAGGACTGTTAAAGATGGTGCAGGTCGAATTTTCGAATTGAACCTAATTTTCGATAATTGTATGTTATCCATGGGAGAACGAGAGATAATGGGTTAGACCAGTTGGTTCTTACACGTCTATAAAAGTTAGTACGTCTGAGCGACTGGGTGGTGTCGTGGAAAATCGCCTGTCGAATTAAATCCAAATGCCTGAGTTTGAGTTTCAGCGTGGAGAAAAAATATTGCTGATACGGATCACTTTTTCAGGTTCATGTTGTCTACTGCGAAGCCATTACAAATAATG